GGCTGCCCGCCTTGGGATTACAATGAAGGCCAAGCTCGCTCGGCTGGAGGCCCAGGAGCAGGCCTTCCTGGCTCATCTTAAAGGCAAGGCCTCTCAGGCCTCTCAACCACAGTCAGAGAGCAAGCCGCCCAAAAAGAAGAAAAAGAAAAGAAAGCAGAAAGAGGAGGAAGAGGCTACAGCAACTGAAAGGAATGCAGATGAAAAGTGCCCAGAACACACCATCCAGAGCATCAGGAAAAGCAAAAAGAAGAAAAGACACCACCAAGAAGAAAAGGTCTCCTATCCGACAGTGGGGACAGCTGTAGGGGATAAGGAGGAAGAGGCTACAGGAACAGGTGGGCTGAGGGAATTCAGCAGAGAGCCAACTGATCAGTCTTCCAGGAAAAGGAAGAGAAAAAAGAAGCATCGCCATGAAGAAAAGAAGATGGGGGTCTTGGATGAAAGAGGAAGAGGTAAGGAGGCTACCAGTGCTGTCAGGATAGAGGGAGAAAACACAGCGCATACTGACCCATGCAGCAGAAGCAAGAAGAGGCGGCACTATGAGAATTTGAACTTAGAAGACAATGAACTCGAGGAAACCATTTTAGACATTGGGATCAGGGAAACAGAGGACAGAGCACACAGAGATAGGAGAAGCAAGGGAAGCAAGAAGAGAACACAGCAGCTTGGAGATAGGGATGTGAGGGACAGAAGAGGTAAGAAGGGCAGGACTAGGGAGGCAGAAAACAGACCACACTCTGGCACAAGCAGCAGCCAGAGGAAGAAAGCTGGAATCAGCAGTGAACAGAGAGCCAGAAAGAAGAAACAGAAGAGAGACTGAAGGTCTGCTCAAGGTTAGGCTCAACTGATTTGCTTTCAGGAGTTGAAGCCTTAGAGACCTGGGTCAGTGCAAGTCTTCTGTGCTCCCCTGAATAAGGAGTAACTGAGCTCTGGAATGTAAGTTTGCTGAGAGCAAGTGTGATGGCACCATACCTTAGTGTGGGGAGTGAGCAGTCCCTTCTGCAGCTTCTAACCCACCATAAGCCAGGTGGCTGAGGGACAAGGAACATGGGGGCTGTGGGAACTGGAACACAGATACCCTTTGAAGGGTCATCTCTGCTATAAGAAGCCCAAAATCTGATTTTTAAATATTGTGAAGTCTAAGAAAAACAACAAATCCAGGTTTTGAGGCTAGTGTCAGTCCATGGGTCGCCAGTTTCTGGCACAAGCAGATGAATGAATAAACATCAAGTTGGGCTTTAGCCTACAGATAAAAAAAAAAAAAAAAGAAAAAGTAGATTAAGTTGGGAGAATCATAAGTGATACATTGCTTAAGCATTTAAGTTTATCTTAATATTATAATGTATCTTCATCTCTCAATTGTTTGATGTTTTGCCAGGGTCCTTTCTTTAGTATAGGTCAACTTATTGGAATGTCAAATCTTATTTATTGCATGCTACACCTTTAACAATTCATCTTTATTTTATAGTTTCTCTTTCTTAAAAGTATAGAAAGAACTTAAAGATAGTAGCAAAACAAGATTGTATAAATCTTTCGCCTTTTACTAAAGATTTCCGTGAAGATAGTAGCAAAACAATTTGAGTACAAATTTTTATGTGTTTTTACTATTTTCCAAATGCAATAATTTCACATGGCTAATCCCACAACAATTGGTTTTAGTAATTGACTTTTAGCCCACATTTCTAAAGCCTAAGTTTTCATAGATACATTTTTCTTTCTTTATTAATTTTCATGTATTACATTTATACGTTTTTAGTTATATTAAATTTCTGCAAACTTAATACATACACAAATTGGAAAGTGTGTACCTCAACCAATGGGAGCAGAAGTATAGGCTGTAATTCAGAGTTTCCAGAGTGTTAGTCAGGATGTAGTACAAATGGGATGGGGCTAGTGGGTAATCCATCAAGCTGATGAAGGGAATGGGTTTGAAGAGCTTCTATAGTAGTAGCTTTAGCAAAATGTATATAAAATTTGGGAGACATGGAACCAAAAGACTTTAAATAGTTAACACTTAATTTTATTGTTGTATTAGATGCTGAAGGGCTTTGTAAGTTTATTTACTATTCTAGCTCCTATACCACTTTGTAAAGGATTAGATACACATACTCATTTTTTGTTTTAATGGGATTACAGTGGTTTTTAGAAATTGAACTTATTTTATTACCTTAGAATTATTATACTCTTTCCCACTAACGTCTTCTTTTACAGATACAACCAAAACAATTGACTGGAGGACAAAACCCAGTTTCATATGTATATTTGGAAGTTGTATCGAGACATTTTTCAAAATCACAAAAAATGCCAATAACCTATGACAATGGATTTCTGTTTATTCATACAGACAAACCTGTTTACACTCCACATCAGTCAGGTAGAGTATATAAGGTGTTTCTTTCCCTGGAGGTGGGGGGAAGTGGGGATTGACACTATATTATAGAGCTTTTTAATACCCCAAATTTAGTGGAGACAGCTTACCAACTTCCTCAAAAGAGTCTCATTTCCCAATGAATTTTATACTTTCAAATAGCATTTTAACTTTAAATTTATAGAGAAATTTATAAATAAATTGCAAAATCCACAATTGCATTATCTACCCTTTCTTTTATTTTGAGATAGAAAAATCTTTAAAATATTATAAAATGTTACACTAGATCATATTTATTAAAAAATAGAAGGCTTAATTGCAAATACTGTTTTGTCAATGGAAAAGTAATTTATTACAGAACCATGTTTATAAAAAATTCCATTGACCAAAAAAAATTTTTTTCCATTGATTCTAGAGCTAATCCCCTAATTCAGAAAACAAATCTACCCCTCGGGGATCAGCTGTTTCTGCAGAGAATGAACTAGATCACAGAAATAACATATGGATATTAATTCTCAAATGGCATCTACCTGAGAAAGTTCTGTTGGAATATGGTTTCCTGGTTCTTCTCTTAGAAGGGAAAAGGGCAAAATAGCTAGCCAAAACCCGGTGATTAAAGAGTGACTGGATTTATTACCAATAAAACAAAAGTAAAACACACTGATACATGAGTGCTACCCAATATAGTCACATGTTTGCAAAGCTTTGAATTCCCCCATTTATCCCTCTGGCTATCATCAACTTTTTTGATGCCCTCTGGTATCATCAAGTGCATCAGCTTGAGCTCATCAGAGATAGAATAGGACAGATGTATACATGGGAGGGAGAGGCTATGGAGATGTGTTAAGGATATCATTGGGGCAAGACAGAGAAAGGATTTTTTTTATTTTCAGTTTTTGGCGGAGGCTGGATTTAAACCCGCAACCTCCAGCATATGGGACTGGCACCCTATCCTTTTGAGCCACAGGCGCCACTGAGAAAGGAATTTTGTTGACAGAAAAAGCCAGCTTTGGCTTGGCGCCTGTGGCTCAAGTGGCTAAGTCGCCAGCCACATACACCTAAGGTGGCGGGTTTGAATCCAGCCCAAAAAAATAGCCAGGCATTGTGGCAGGCACCTGTGGTCCCAGCTACTTGGGAAGCAGAGGCAGGAAACTTGATTGAGCCCGGGAATTGGAGGTTGCTGTGAGCTGTAATGCCATGGCACTCTACCCAGGGGGACAGCTTGAAGCTCTGTCTCAAAAAACAAAAAAAAAAAAAGCCAGCTTTATTGAAAAACTTTGCGCACAGTGGATACTTGCTAAATGATCCACTTATTGATCTTGTTTTCACAGTTACATTAAAGCATCAGTGGCAAGGATAGGCTTATTTCTAGGTGTGATTATATATAAAAAGCCCCAACCTTTATAGGCAAAGACTATGATAATGACAGTAGTGAGGTGGAACTGGGCTACATCATTACCATTTCATCATAAACACTTATTACCTGTGTAATCAGTTCAGAAAGGGAAGGCCTAGAGAAGGTGAGGATATTTCTGTCAACTTGGCCAGCATATCATTGCCAGAATAGTGGCATCCCTTGACTCCAAGTTAAGTTGATCTACAAGGAAATAGTCTTTGCCTATAAAGATTGGGTCCTTGTATACATAATTAGACCTAGAAATAAGCCCCTCCTTGCCCTTGACCTTGTTAGAGATTGCTTTGTTAATTGGATACTCTTGATGTTACCTACAATTTAGGGTCATCAGTCTTTGTCAAATAAGTAATCTAATACCCAGAACCAGGGACCTTTCTTAATTATCAAGGCTTTCCTTTAGAACTGTCTCATTTATTATTTCTCTACTAGGACTTTACCATAAAATATGGCATCCTTATCTATTCTAATCATAGAGGAAGACAAGAGAAATTTCCTCTAAATATTGGCCCTTGCGTAGTAAAGTAAAGTGATTAAAATCAGACTCTGGAGCCAGATTGTCTCGGATCAAATCTTCGCTCAGGCTGTTATGGGCTTTAAGGGCTTTGTGACCCTGCATGAGTTACTCAGCCTCTCAGACCCCCACTTTCCTCATCTGTAAAATGGAAGTAATAATACATAGTACAGCTAACCTCATAGAGTTGTGAGCATTAAGTGAATTCATAGGTGTAAAGTACTTCAAATAGTACCAAGCACAAAGTAAGCACTAGGAAAGTATTTTCCATTATTATCTAATCTATAAAATAGCAAAAAGGGAAAAGAATTACCTAAAAGTAACTTTTTAAAAAATTAAGTCTTGCTGTTTATAGCTCTAATGTCTTTGATGTAATTTTAATATAAGCATGTTTAGTATAAGGGATTAAATCATAAGGGCTTTATGGGATCAATGACTTCAGAATTTTGGGCAAAATCCTTCAATTCCATACAGTCTGCTCAGCTTCCTAACCTACTGTGGTCTCCCTCATCTGTGGACACAAGCCAAACTGACCTGTTTTCAGTTACTTTCTCACACCATTTCCCTATCCATTATCATGCTGTTATCTCTGCCTGGTACATTCTTACCCCTCCTTTGCCCTGACTTTTACTCCACCCTTACATGTGATCACTGGCCCCTTCTACACACATTAAATCTTCCTGACTAGATCAAATCTGTCTCTGTTCCACTCACAGAAAGCTGGGTAGGTGTCATCTGTAGTGCTTCACACCCCTGAAATTTACACATAATTGTGTTTGCCTCTCTCCTCACTCCCTCAGATGTCCATGTTTGATTTGTTTCACTACCACATCTCAGTACTAGCATAGTGCTTGACAGGTAAAAGGCATTCAAAAATTTCTTTAAGTGAATAAGCTCGTATCTTTGAGACAAAAAAATTATACCAATCTTGCCTCTGATATATTATTGCTGTGAAAACAAGATTAATTTTTTAACTCAAACACAAAAGGGCTAAAAACTAAATGAATAGTAGTCATAGAAATAATAAGAGAATAAAAGTAATAAAATTTCATTGGTTACAATTATGTTCCAGGCTATGTAAAAGTTTTATTTTCCTTAGTTCTCACAACACTATGACTAGATGCCAGTGTTCTTCCTGGTTTATGAGTAAGGTAGTTAAGGATTAAACGGATTAAGTATCCTACTCAGGGTCACACAAGAATGTAACAGAGGCAGAAAGGAGACTAGAGTTTTTAATTCCAGAGCCTGTGCTCTTCACTTTTGTGACATACTGCCTCAGCAGCTTCCCTGTGATGCTCAGGCGTGAAGCAGGTATGTCCATGAGGCAGGTGTGAGGGGAAGCTGAGAGCCAGTGTGGGCGACTTGCTGAACATAGTGCTTTTATCTGTGGTTATAGTAAAACAAACATTAGTCTATGTGGCTTAATATTGACCCTTTAGGAAGTATTGTGTTTATAGAGCCAGTACTGTTTTATTTTGTTGGTAACATGATCATGAAATTATTTGAGCATCAACAAAACAATGAAGAAATTATAGTATATAATTAGATGAAATTAGATCAGCTAATTCCTGTGCCTCAAACAGCTATGATTTAAAAGATGAACAGATGGTTTTGTTTAAAAGTGGGGATCTATTAACTGACAGAAAGAGATGGAAGAGAACTAATGGTTATTGAGCCTCTGCCTTTAGTCTTTAACAATGAGAGAACAATCATAGGATCTGGCTCAATAAATATAGCAAGCTGTACAATTCAAAGTTCCCTTTGTCAATAAGAGTTAATTTGAGGTCTTGTTGGTTTTCATAAATTGAAGAGTGTACAATATCTAAATCAAACATTCTATTTTTTATTAAAATCTTCAACTCTAACAGGGGGCAATATATTATGCTCCCTGTACCCATATAGGGGATGTCACTATTTTGCTACTATAGAATTCTTGATAAACAACGGCCTAATTACAGATGTAACTAATTTTGTACTATGGATGTTTTCCCAAAAGTTGTTAAATGTATTTTTCTCCGCCCCTCTGTTAAACATATTTTTTTCTTTTTCTTTTTCTTTTTCTTTCTTGTTCTTTTTTTTTTTTTGCAGTTTTTAGCCAGGGCTGGGTTTTGAACCTGCCACCTCCGACATATGGGGCTAGTGCCCTACTCCTTTGAGCCACAGGCACCGCCCCTGTTAAATATATTTTGATAAAGTGAACTGCACTTTAAGTTCACTAGGAGAAGTATCACTTTAGGGCGGTGCCTGTGGCTCAAAGGAGTAGGGCACCAACCCCATATGCCAGAGGTGGCAGGTTCAAACCCAACCCTGGCCAAAAATTACAAAA